AGAGGTTGCAGTGAGCCAAGATCGCGCCATTGTGCTCCAGCCTGGGAGACAAGAGTGAAACTCCATTCCCCCCCACTCAAAAAAAAGACTTTTAGTGCTAAAACTAAAGCAGTTCACGGACGAGGAAGTAACCTTACTGGGCTTGGTGACAGGAAGGGACCTGGGTGAGTGAGGTTCTTCTACAAAGACCAAATTCCCCTTGGGTGGATCCAACAGATTGAATGGAAGAAGCTAGAAGTCCCTTTGGCCCTCATACCTAAATCACATTCTCCAAAATCACTTCTTTTAGAAATAAATACAATGTTCTGATCTCCAGCAGAACTCAGGGAGAGAAGATGGGTTTTATTTTATGAGCCTTCCTCAAATCGACAACAAATAATTATATACCCGCTACTACACACTAGCACCATTTTTTATGGTGACAATTCAAATGTCCTCACCCCACTTTTCAGGAGTGCTGAGGCTACCTTGGGCCAGTGGGGAAGGGAGGAAGTAGGGCCCTGGCCATACTCAGAACCAGGGGAGCTGGCCTGGACTGCAAATCCACAACCCCAAACCCTGGTGCCCAAACCAGGCTCTATCACGCCAAGATATATACAAGTAGGAACTGTCCAGTGGGTAGACGGGGTCTTCTAAGCAATTCCCGGACTCTCAGAGGCATTCATGGCTCCAGGTGCTCTCTCCTATTCTAAGCAAAACCCAAAAGCACTGGTGGGGACCAGGCTAGTGAGAGTTAGACAAAATGTCCATGCTCCAGGGAATGATTAAAGGTTTTAGGAAAACCATCTTTCTCATTAAGGGAGATAAAACATCAGAAACCAAAGAAGAAGTTGAGTTGTACAGACATGAAACCCTGCGGTATCTGAGTAGATAAGAGGGTAGGAGGGAGACAGGCAGGCAGAAAAATGGAGCTCAGAGGATATTTGAGTGCTCAGAGCTCATCCCATGCTACACGACGGAAAGCAGAGAGGAAGTCTTGGTCCACTCCCTGGGTGCTGCTGGGGAGGGAGCTGCAGGCATGGCAAGGCCTGGCTTAAGCAGGTAGTGGAATTTTAAGCTTCTGCTTCCCCGACAGGGCAGGGCTGGAGAAAGCTGGCCCTGACATTAAAGGAGTATTTTTGAAATACTGGTTTTTTAAATGATGTGGTTTTTTAAAAAATATTTTTTCTTCCCTTTATTTCTCTCGATCCCAAAGCGTCCCCCACGCACATAGATATTTATTAGTTACTCATCTTACTCTTGCCTCAGGACAGAGATGGGACGCAGTGAAGGACAGAAAAATCCTAAGCTCTTTAAGGTTCTTATTTCTAACAGCAGTCGCTGCCCCAGAGCCAAGAGAGGATCTTAGGCAGAGACAAAATATCCAAAACCTCAACAGGAGATGGATTTTTCTGAAGGCTCGGGAAGGATTCCCTCAAGCTGGTGGTGGAGCTGGGAGAGGAATGAGAAGGCAGGAAGATGGGAACAAAGAGATCCATGAGACCTGCAGCCTCCCAACTCCCCAGCACACTCCAGGCCCAGGATGACATGGCAGACGCTCAGGAGGGAACAACGGCAGGCTACGCACATCCTCATCATCCAGGACTCTCAATGGCCCGTCAGGCATTTCCATCCCCAAGTCATCTTAAAAGACCAGAGGACTATTTGACTTGCATAAAACATACAGCCGGAGCAAAGTGCTGATGTCAGGAGTTCAAGACCAGCCTGGCCAACATGGTGAAACCATGTCTCTAGTGAAAACACAAAAATTACCCAAGCATGGTGGCATGTGCCTGTAGTCCCGGTTACTCAGGAGGGTGAAGCAAGATAATCGAGAATCATCTGAACCCAGGAGGCAGAGGTTGCAGTGAGCCAACATCGCACCACTGCACTCCAGCCTGAGTGACAGAGTGAGACTCTGTCTCAAACAAAACAAAACAATACAAAACAAAAAGGCACTTTTGCAGCTCTTGGTGCAAGTCCTCCCCCGAGCTTTTGTTCCGTGTAACGTCATGGAACTGTGGCACAACTCAGGGAGGGAGATGGTGCAAAAGAACTGAGGCCAAGTACTGTGCAGGAGCTGTAAAGACCCCACGGATGCCCCTGTGCCACTCGCTGGCTAGAACAACACTTTGCTCACAGCCTCTCCCTGCAAACACATGTGACTCTCTGCCTGGAGCTTCTTCTCACCAGAGTTTCTGGATGAACTGACTCATGGGCCTCAGTGTGAAGCTTTATCTCTAGTGTTTAATGAAAGTGAGGAAACAGAAAGGACTCCACCATGAATATTCTGTCTTTACGGTGCAAGCTCCTGGCTGCATAGATCAGCATGTGAAGGCAGCCGAGGAAAATGAAACAAACTTCAAAGTCCAAAGAGGAAAAAAAGAAGGGCCCATAGAATATTCTTCAAATGAAATTAACTGACCAACAGATGCTCTGAGGTTTTCAGGCTACTCAGCTTAAATCAGAGGGAGCGTATGCTAGAGATGGCAGGCCCTGCTTGGCTGCAGACTGTCACTTTCTTTTGGTTCTCAAGTAAGCATCCTTGAGGTGCTGTGCCGCAGAGCAGATTCAATTTTGTTCACTTAATTTTCATCTCTCCTACATGGTTTTCTTCTACAAAAATGGAGACACCATTTTCTTCAAGGGCCATTTACCATATAAAGAAATACATATAAAGAGAGTAAAAGAAAATTAATATAATCATAAGGCAATGGATTTTCGTCTCTCCTTTTAGGCAGTCTGACTTCTGCATACATTGATTAAAAGCTCCACCAGCGTCTATCACATACTATTTATACAGAAGCTTTATCACAAAACAGAAACAAATGGTCTTTTTTTTTTTTTTTTTGGTCTTCATGACTGCTACCTGGGTTCAGGCCATCCTCCTTTCATAGTCTTTATCTTACCTAGCATTCAACCATTAAATCTTGGGGTTTGGAGATAAGGCCTTTCTCTCTCCCCATGTATGTCAGAAATGCTTTCAGCAGAAAGTCATGGAATGCCCAACCTGTGCTGACTTAAACTCCTGACATTTATTGCTATGTAACAAAAAGTTCTAGGTTTGATTGGCGGCTCAACAGTATCTCCAAACACCCAGGCTCTGTCTGTTCCCCAACTTAGCCACATCAAGCATAATGATTTCTTACCTCACTGTCACAAAATAGCTGCCACAGCTCCAGGCATCATGCTCCCACATGGTTATATTCAAAAGCAAGAAACTCAGGGAGAAACCAGGGAAGTGAGAGTGCCTTTATCTTTCAGCTCTTTCTTCTATGGAGGGAGAGCATTAGGACAAATACCTAATGCATGTGGGGCTTAAAACCTAGATGATGGGTTGATGGGTGCAGCAAACCACCATGGCACATGTATACCTATGTAACAAACCTGCACATTCTGCATGTGTATCCCAGAACTTAAAGTAAAAAAAAAAAGAAAGAAAGAAAAAGAAAAAAGAAAAAAAGAAAAGAAAACCCTTTCCAGAAATACCTTCCACAGACTCACTCATTGGCTAGTAGTGGGTCATTGTTTCAATTATAGGGCCTCGCCGATTTTATTTTTTAAGTCATTGCCAATTCAGTTTCTTTCTCTTCTTTCTAATTGCTGCATTCCCCAAATCATCATTCTACTGAACCAATATCCTCCTAAAAGGTCCCTGCCTCACATCTACCCTCCATACCAATGCTACTCCAGTACTCAATAAGGTGGCCAGTCTTCAAGAGGCCCCTGTGACTCCTGCCTCCTGGTATTTATACCCTTATCAAGTCCTCTCCCACATGGTTGGTGTGGCCAAAAGAACATGGCAGAAGTGGTGGGATTTTGCTTCTGAGGTTAGACGATAAAAGACACTGTGTTTTCCATCTTGGTCTCTCTCATCTCTTCTCTGAGGACAGCCACTGTAACATTTTGAGGATACTCAGCCACTCTCTGGAGAGATCCACAGAGCAAAGATGGATGCCTCCTGTTCAACAGCTGCACGAGAGATCTTGGAGGTGAATCCCCACTCAAGTCAAGCTCTCAGCTGACATCGTGACTAACACCTTATGAGAAGCTCGAAGCTGGAAATACCCAGCTAATTTGCTCCCTAATTCCTTACCCATAGAAAATGTGAGATAATAAGTGTTTGTTATTTTGAGCCACTAAGTTTGAGGGTGACTTATTATGCAGTGATAGATAATGAATTCACTTACTGTGAAATTGTCCTGGTTAAAACTTATAAGTGGTCTCTACCACTTACAGCAGAGAACCTGCCATTGCCAGCAGGTGAGTTTTGATCCACAGAGTCTTTTGAAGTATTTTGAACTGATGTTTCAAAATTGGGAGATGTTGAACAGAAATCAGAACATCTTGCCCCCAACTGTGTGGGGGCATGATGCCTGGAGCTGTGGCAGCTATTTTGTGACAGTGAGGTAAGAAATCAGAACATCTGCCAACCACAGAACACTCAAGGTCTGGGCCAGAGGATTGAGTGCCTCCTTTACAAAGAGCATGTGCTCCAACTACCCATGGCCTGGACTAGAGGATCAACTGTCTCCTTTAGAAAGAGCATGTATGCCAGCTCATTGAGTTCCCTCCACTCACCCAAGGCCTGGGCCAGAGGATTGGCTGTCTCCTTTAGAAAGAGCATGTGCTCCAACTACCCATGCCTGGGCCAGAGGATCGGCTGTCTCCTTTACAAAGAGTATGCTCTCCAACTCGTTGAGTGCCCTCCACTCTAATTCCCCCAATAGCAGTAAGGACGTGTCATAGTTGCCACTTTTTGATGCCTGCTTGAACCATTACTTTAGTTATGTCTGAGATATAATTTTGTGAACCCATGTCGCTTCCAAAACTGGGTAAACAATAGGAAAGGAGGGAAGGAGGGAAGGAGGGTAGGAGGAAAGGAAGGAGGGAGGGGGGAGGGGAGGTAATAGAAGTTGGGAGAACATCTTTCTTTGTTAAAGAGAATGTTTTCATCTTTTAACATGCAAACAAAGTATCTAAGAACTATAAGCAGGTCTCAGTTCACTCATTTATCTTACCTGCCTGGTCCCTTCAGACATCAGTGTTTATGATCCCAGGTCTACGGGGCAATGGTGCTTCATAAGCACAGTCCAGGTTCTCTGGAATCCAGCCCAGACCACCAAATCTTGCTGGCTCACCACTTTTTGACATGGCTCCCACTGTGATGGTTAACATCATGTCCTGACTTGGCTGCGACATGGTGCTCAGTTGTTTGGTCAAACACCAGTCTAGATGTTGCTGTGAAGGTAAGTTTTAGATGTGATTAACATTTAAATTGGTGGAACTTAGTAAAGCAGATTATCTTCCATCTTGTAGGTGGGACTCATCCAATCAGTTGACGGTCTTAAGAGCGAAGACTGAGGCTTCTATAGAAGAAGGAATTCAGCCTCAAAACTGCAGTACAGAAAGCTTGCCTGAGTTTCCAGCTTGCCTGGCCGGCCACGTGGAATTCAGATGCCAGACTGTAACACCAACTCATACCTGAAATTCCAGCCTGCTGGCTTGTCCAACAGATTTTGTTCAGCCCCCACATCATGTGAGTCAATTCTTTAAAGTAAATAAATGTCTCTAGCACGTGCGCTGTCTCTCTCTCTCCTTCCTCCATTTATTACACACATACAGATGGGTGTGTGTATGTATGAAAGGAATGTGGGAGGGTGGGTATATTAGTTAGCGTTCTCCAAAGATGCGGAACAAAGATACAGAACCAGTGGGAAAGATAGATCTTTCTGTATCTTTGGAGAATCCTAACTAATAGACCCACCTCCCACATTCCTTTCATACATCAGACTGCCAGTTTCTATCCTCCATGTCCTTGGTCATGCACTTGGCCCTAGTTATGCCACCCCCTTCCACAAGGCCATCTTGCCCTCCCATCGCCCCAGCAATGCATTTTCCTTTAACTCAGTCCAGCTGTCCCCCTGCCCAGGAAGCTCCCCGTGACCACGTTTTTCTCCCCGATGACACTCATTTGTGCAGACCCCTCTCAACCCACACATTAAGTTGGAACATGACAACTTCCTTTATGTGGCCTACCAGAAGAGGAACTGTCTTCTTCTGTCAAATGAATGAATAAATAAAGGGATGAATCCCAACGTGTTATTACTGAGGAGGACAAACATAATAATCTTAGACAAAAGTAGTTTTATAGAATTACCATGTAAATCACTATAGAATAGAATAAATGCTTTGCAATTTAGGGGGAAACAGAAGGATTTTCTGGGCTTCTGGCAAAGCTTTTTCCTAACTAAATCATTTCAGGCACAGCTTTTGCAAATGCGTCTTCTGCTGGTCATAATTATGCGCCCCCCACCCCCCACTGCTTTGAATTACTTTGTGCTAACACCAAAATTGTTCCACAGAGAGTCGGATTGATTTGCTGAAATGTGATGAGGAGAAGTGGGATAAGAGACATACTTCACATGCGACACCCGTTGCTAGCACAGCTGTATTTCTGAGAAATATATTTCCGTCTTTTGGCTCCATTTCTTTTGTAGTTTAATAACTGAAGTACAAAGCTCATGAAAGCTGGGAATGTGTTGGAAGGTCAGTGAGGAAAAATGCACGTGGTGCAGTTAGGAGAGACAAGGGAGTTAAAATAACGGGAGACATTGATCACTTATGATCTTTCTGGTCAGTGGTTTATGGCTAAATATCTGTTTCAGCTGAAGACCAAACACTGGCTCACAGCCACCAAAAAGTAGAACAATTAAGAAACTCAGCAAGGAGAATTCCTTTTGTACCTCTATTATAAGCATATTTTTTATTTAAAATTATTTTATGTAATGCCAATAGAGTAATATCTTCATGTCATTATATAAAAGTGATGGCAGTGGCTAGTTTCACCATTGGATGACAGTCCCACACATTGGAACACATTTTTTCACCTAGCAGAAAGCCTTGCCTGCAGCACTCACCAAATGCCTCCTACAGTATCTTCTTCATGTGCACAAACGGCTTTATGTCAGAAATCAACATCCACTGAGACACCAGAAATTGGAACAGGTCCCTGAAGACAGGTTGACTGCTTTTCCTCCCTGTGGCACAGTCATTTGCAGTCTTTACTTGGTATTGCATCTGTAAATGGGATGTAGATAATATCTCCATCATTTCCAGGGAATACAGTGTTATCCACATCAGCGTTCATGACAACAAACATGATGTCCCAACTGAACTTTTTAATCAGGACTTTTGGGAGAACCAAGTCTGTTTGAGTTTAACAGATGCATTTGATGTTGTTATCTAACCATCTGATGCTGTGATGAAGCACAGAACGCAGGCTTTGTCATCAGCCAGTGCTACACCATACCCAGGGCTGGCCTCACCAGATGTGTGATCCTGGGCAAGACGTTTTGCCTCTCTGACCTGCAATACTCTGCTCTATAAAAGGAGGTCCATAAAAATCTCTTTGGAGGATCAATATGAAAATCAGAAACAATAAATTCAACTATTTGGAATAGGGATTGGCACGTAAGAGATGATAAAAAACAAAAGAAGTGTTTGTAATAGAATATTACTGCTGGTTCAGGATTCTGGCTGAAGCTTTAAACTGAGAATGGAAGAAAAGCCTTTCAGGTTCCAAAGGAAAGTGCTGAACACATTTCTCAGTACTTCTGAAAGATCAAAGAGCCAATCTAGAAACCAAACTGTGTGTCTAGCATGATACCTGCAATATGCGTGCAACATGCAACTTGCAGGTCTATACACCTATATTATGTGTGTATATGTACATACAGTATCTAGATACACACCTAGACATATGTAAATAAAGCTCATTAAACAGAATGTGCCAATTTGTCAGCCAATGGGGAATTGATGTGGATTCTCCCTCCATCATGAGAGAGGGAACTAGGGTGCTTGCCCACCCTTTCAAGCTAAGGAAAGGGGACTCCAGGAAGATATGTCAAAAGAAGCTACTCACACTTCAAGAGGGAGAGATCGGCACCTTGCTCCCCAGCACAGCCAATGCACTACAGACTGAACAACGTGTAAAGGCAGCTCCTGAAAGAACTAAACGTGTGTGTGTCTAGGAATTTGGGGCATATCGAAGCAGAGACTGCTGCTTCTCCTATTCTGAATAATTCTGAAGATGGGAAGCTGGCAGGAGCAGGGCACCATAAAAGCCAGGGACTGAGGACGCACTTAGGGATGCTACAGCAGGTGGTTGAACCTCACAGTTTGAAAGCACCCACCCAATCAGGCATCCTGCTGGACTGAGGGCTCCCAGCACCAGGAGGCTGTGGGTATGAGGCCAGTGGAAGCAAAAACAGAGGAGAACTGCAAAAGGCTCTCCATACAGATTATTGATTTATTTGCAAAGGCTTCTGTGGGGCCACTAGGCAACCACAAAGGTGCTCCCAAGGGAGGGCCAGCTTTGGGGGCCAGTCACATGCAGAGGGGATAGGGCAGGTGAGTTTCAACAGCCTCACATACAGGAGACTTGTCTTCTTTCCTCCAATCTATTTTCCTCCAACCCCTGCCCTGGAGAGGTGAGGAGAAGGAGGGACGCCGCAAGCCGAGGAACAGACGAGCTTTGAACTGGATGGGAGACTGAAACTTTCCCTCTACCTAGACTGTTAATACCTGACAGTGAATCTTCTCTCACAAATTGAGTCAGAGCATCAAGAAGGCTATGAACGAACCTCCCTGAGATGCCTTCAGTGAGCAGGGAAGGGAAACCCAACAGAGCAAGATTGAAATACAAGTGTGAGAAAAGTAAAGCCATTTCCTATTTGTATACTTCAGCCTTCAGAGGCCACAACAGATCAGCTACATACGATTATGTTATTTCGGAGCCTCCAAATGGAGTGACACCTACTCTTTTATTACCAATTACCAAGGCGTGGAAGATGGGGAGAGGAGTCTCTGGCTCCTCCGCTCCATCTGTTTGTGGCTAGCACGTTGACTTCAACACAATGTGACTTAGGTACCCAAATTATTATAGTATTGGGACAGGCAAGTGTAAAGGGGTCCCCGGAGAAAATTCCACCAGCCTGCTCATTGGGAGGAGTGTGCGCTGGGGAGGGGCCTTGGAAAAGCAGGAAGCAGCCTGGCCTCTTCCGTTCTGGGGTGGGGAAACTGGGATTCAATCTGTGAGGCAGGAAACCAGTTAGCAGGACTCTGGTTTTGCTGAGAGTCCCTGTTTCCCTTTGGTCCCTTTTCACTCAATAAACCCTGCCCTTCTCACCCTGAAGTGTCTGTGAGCCTAATTTTTCACAGTCATGTGACAAGGACCCCGTTTTTAGCTAACTAATGAGAAAGTCCTACAACAATATAGTGGGACAAAACCCAGGGACAACAAGCAAATTCATCCAATCCAGATTCTACCAAGTCTGTAAAAAAAAAATATATATATATACACACACACACACACACACACACACACACGCACACATATACATATGCTTACGGCTACTTCCAAACCTCGTTTTCTCATAATCACCCAAACCTAGACTAATGGATTCCCCCATTTCTGCTCTCGAAATTTCTCCAAACACGTCCTTTTCTCTAGAGGTACAGAATTCCTCATCAGCTGAATATGTAGCTTCTCTTTGCACTGTAATCTATGATCATGCATAAGTCTTTCTCTGAAGGGGGAAAAAAGGACAACTTTTGACTTGAAATCCAGCTCTGGATTTACCTAGAAGTCAAGCTTGTTAAAATATAGTCCTCAGGGTTTAGAAGACAAGGGTGGGCTAATTCTGAATCTCAGCCTGCCTACAAAACCAGCCATACAATCGATAAGGAAGACAGATAAAGCCACACAGGACTCGTGCCTCCAGCATGACCAGACAACAGAGAACACTGCAACCTTCAAATTGCCTGAAAGTAACAAATTCCAACAGAGCTCTCACCACCTACTCACAGCTGCTAAGAGCCTGTGGATGCAGAGAGCAGAGAGGGAGGCAGAAAAAAGAGCTCAGAAAATAAACAGAGGGAGCAGAGGGCTGCGAGGAAGCGCAAACTTGCCCTAGAAAGAGGAAATGAAATAGTCAACGCAAAATAACCCAATAGCAGTCAGGACTTGGAGATGAATAGGAAGGCACTGGAGAGTGGGTGGAGCCAGAAGGGGTGGCCTCAGAAGGTACTACTTGTGGGGGATAATCAGATCTAAAGAAAAGATCTGATGCCCCTTGGAGATGAGACAGAGATGGAAAGAAGGACTTAACGGGGGCGGGGGGAATAAGGAGCCTGCAGAAACACAACAGTAAACTGGAACAAGTGAAGAGACCCTTTGCTCTTGATTTGGAGGTTTCAGTGTTATCAAGATGTCAATTCTCCCTAATTTATAAATGTAGTGCAAGACCAACAAAAATTCTAAGGAGCTTTTTAATGGTGACAGACACGTTAGAAAACAACACACAAGAATATCTAGGAAAACATCAAAAAGGAATAACTTGGTGGGGGTGAGAAGGGGATAGTACCCCTAGCAGATGTTAAAACATAATATAGACTCCCCACAATTAAAACAGAGTGGCACTGGCACATGAATAGACTGACATCAAAGGAACAATAAAATGTCAAGGAAAAGATGAAAAAATAGAATTTCCATTTGGAAAAACATAAAAGTAGATCCATCCCTCAAACCCTACATAAGAATAAACTCCAAATGAGTCAGAAATGTAAATGTAAAAATAAAAGTACATATACTAGAAAAAAATAGATAAATTATTCTATAACCTATGTATATAGTAAAAGGCTAGGTCTGACTTAAAATTTAAGTGCAATAAAGTAAAATACTAATATGTTTATTTGCATAAATTAAAATTTTTTAAAAGGTTGTATGGAATAACTACACCATTAGTAATTTTTTTTTTTTTAGGTGGAGTCTTGCCCTGTAGCCAGGCTGGAGTGCAGTGGTGCGATCTCGGTTCACTGCAACCTCTGTCTCCCAGGTCTCCCAGGTTCAAGCTTTTCTCCTGCCTCAGCCTCCCGAGTAGCTGGGACTACAGGCATGCACCACCATGCCCAGCTAATTTTTTTGTATTTTTAGTAGAGACGGTGTTTCACCATGTTGGCCAGGATGGTCTTGATATCCTGACCTCGTGGTCTGCCCACCTTGGCTTCCCAAAGTGTTGGGATTACTGGCGTGAGCCACTGCACCCAGCAACCATAAGTAAATTTTTAAATGACAAAACAGAAGAAAAATTGGCAACAAACATTGCAAATAGAAGAATTAATGTCACTAATGTACAAGGCACTTTGCAAAATCAGGGATCAAAATATCAAAAGTTCTACAGAAAAATGGGCAAACACATGAAAAACTATTCATGAAAAGAAATACATGCATGTCCTAGAACCATATGAAAAGATGCTCAACTTTGTTTATAATAAAAGTACACCAAGATGCTGGGTACAGTGGCTCACACCTGTAATCCCAGCGCTTTGGGAGGCTAAAGCAGGAAGATTGCTTGAGTTTCAGACCAGCCTGAGCAACACAGAAACCCTCATCTCTACTAAATAAATAAATAAATAAATAAATAAATAAATATCAGGCTGTTAGTGGAAAAGGAGGCAAAGTTTTCGACCAGGTGATCAAAATTACACCACCCATGTGAAGGACACAGCATGTGCTTCCAGAAGCGATGACAGAGGACACAGTATCTTCTATGCAGCGCGCTGTCAACCCAATCACAAGGAAGCTTCAGTCAAGCAAAAAATAGGGAGCATGCTGTTTAAAAAGTGAAGAGGCTACTGTATTCAAAAAAAAAAAATCAACGTCTTAAAAGGCAAAGAAACATTATGTAATTGTTTTTTGTTTTTTTTTTTAATTTATTTATTATTATTATACTTTAAGTTGTAGGGTACATGTGCATAACGTGCAGGTTTGTGCTTGAGCAGGCAGTCTTCCCTTCCAGATCTCAACCTCCGTGTTGGGAGACACTCTCTCTTGCAAAGCTGTCAGACAGAGTCGGTTGTGCGTCTGCAAGAGGTTTCTGCTCGCGTTTTGTTGTTATTGTTGTTGTTTTGTGTACCGTGCCCTGCCCCAGAGGTGCCCTACAGAGACAGGCAGGTTCCTTGACTCTGTGAGCTCCAAACCCATTGGAGCCCCAGCGGCTGTTACCTACTTAAGCCTC